TTAGGTAACCCAGTAGTATTATCTTGTACCAATTGTTCAACAGGCACAAGCTCTCTAATTTCTACCAAGGTCTTAGACTCTTCCCTCTAAGGCTCAGACCTATCCTCACCTCATTCGATCATAACCCCTTTATTATCTATAAATAGCATGTTTTCTATTGCTTCTTTCTCTTGTCACTCCATGGAAAACACAGGAGAATGATGAGTGTTACCTGTGGACTCAAGATTAGGAACTGTTTTTGTTAAGTTAGCATTCTCAGAACCAGTAGTTTGGTCTACATTTTTGCCTTCGTCCATAGGAAGACTAGACATTTCCTGATTTTCCTCTTCGTCTATTGTACCCTTTTCACCCAGTTTTTTTGGCGAGGCAGGAGGAGAGCTCGTAGATACAAACCTTTTGGTCGAGATTTTGCGGCTCCGATGAGAACTAGAACTCGATTGGGTAGGAGAGGAGAGTGAGTGTGGGGGTGACTCTGACCTAGGGTTTTGTCAAGTAGTGGTGTTGAGTAAGGAGTCTAATATCGGTGTTTTAACTGGTGAGGACTCAATATGGGTATTACTTGGAACACTCGAGGTTTCGTGATTTTTAGCCATGGTGAGAATTGGTGAGTTGAAGAGAAGGGATTGGTAGTTTGAAGAGAGAAAGAAGAAGGAAAATTTTGAAGTTTGATATGAAGAGTTATGACAGTGATGGATGTATTTAAGATGGATGAGGGACCGGGTAAGAAAGGGCGGCAGTTTTGGGAATCAGGTCGATTATCAACCGGTGAGACATTTGGGTTCAAAAGATGCAAAGAAAAGAAACTGACACACTGATGTTGTGGCACTTATTTTAACCGTTCAAAATTGTGCATGAGAGAACAGAGAATCTACTAACCTATGTCAGGAGAACCAGGTTCCCTGATGAATCTTGCACCTATAAGCTTTGCCCTTTTTACCAGCGTGCACTGCATCAATTACTTATTTTGCTCTGTAATCATCATGCGTGTCTACCTGTAATGGTATAGAGATAAGTTAGACTTTTCTAGAAAATACTTTTTAGCTAATTTTACTTGGACATTTCTTTCTTTGCCAATCATCGAGGGACCGGGTTCTTATTGGGTTTTATCAACCCCAGTGCCATACGATTTCTTTCAAAATATTCTCTGCTTAAGGCCTTGGTGAATATACCTGCAATCTGATCTTCTATGTTGCAGAATTTCATGCAGATGAGCCCCTTTTCAACATTATCTCTAAGGAAGTGGTGACGCACATCAATGTGTTTGGTTCTCTTATGTTGGACGGGATTTTTGGCCACGTTGAGTGCACTTGTATTGTCGCACAGGAGGGGCACACAGTTAGAAAACACTCCAAAGTCTTCCAACTATTGCTTGATCCACAGCAATTGAGCATAGCAAAAAGCAACTGCTACATATTCCACTTCTGCAATTGAGAGTGTCATCGAGTTTTTCTTCCTTGTACCCCATAAGATCAGACAAAAACCCAGGAAATGTACCATTCCAAACGTGCTTTTCATGTCCACCAGATATCCTGTATAATCAGCATCAACATACCTAACAAGATCAAAGTTGTCTCTTGGCGGATAGTAGAGAACCAGGTCTTGCATTCCTTTGAGATATCTAAATATTCTTTTGGTAGACTTCAGATGAGATTCCTTTAGATTAGATTGAAATCTTGCACAGAGACCCACACTGAACACAATATCGGGTCTGTTTGTAGTGAGATACAAGAGTGGCCCGATGATGCCTCTATACATGGTCTGATTTACAGGGGAACCAGGTTCATCCATGTCTAGACGAGTAGTTGTGGCAATAGGAGTGTCAATCCCTTTTGATGCTTCTATGTCAAACCTTTTTAGCAGCTCCTTGATGTACTTCTACTGACTTATCAATGTTCCCTTTTGAGATTGTTTCACTTGAAGTCCCAGGAAGAAATTTAATTCTCCCATCATACTCATCTCAAGCTCACTCCCTATGAGTTTTGCATAATTCTTCACATAAATTTACTGTGGCTCCAAAAATGATATCATCAACATATATTTGCACAATGAGCAGGTTTCTTCCTCGTTTCTTCAGAAAGAGAGTGTTGTCAATTTTCCCTCTTGTAAACCCATTTTCTAGAAGGAATTTTGACAACCTTTCATACCAAGACCGGGGAGCCTGCTTTAGCCCATAAAACGCCTTATCCAGTTTAAACACATGCTCAGGATACTCGTGATTTTCAAATCCAGGTGGCTGCTTGACATAAACTTCTTCTTTTAGGAGGTCATTTAGAAATTCACTTTTGACATCCATTTGGAACAATGTGAACTCCATATGTAATGCAAAAGCAATAAGGATTCTGATAGATTCCATTCGAGCAACTGGAGCAAAAGTTTCATCATAATAAATCCCTTCTTCCTAATTGTAGCCTTGAACTACCAGCCTTGCCTTATTTCTTGTTATGTTTCCAAACTCATCAAATTTGTTACTGAATACCCTTCTGGTTCCTATAATAGTTCGATCTGCAAGTTGAGGAACCAGGTGTCATACTTTGTTCCTTTCAAATTGATCCAGTTTGCATCTTTCAATGCTTCTTTGCTATTTTTAGGCTCTATTTGAGAAAGAAAGGTTGAGAAGGAAAGTGAGTTTCTAGCTTTTGCCCTGGTTTGAATTCCTGAATCGAGAGAAGTAATTATGTTGTCAAGGGGGTGTGAACTTTTGTGCTTCCAATTTGGTACCTGAATCTCATTGGTAGAAGACCCAGGTATGCCTGACTGAGGTTTTTGGCCGCTTCTTGTTTCAGCAAGTGGAGTACCTTGGACCGCATCAATAATTCTGTTTTCAGCTTTAGTTGTTGTGATCGTGGGACCAAGTGTCTCTCCAATGAATGGATATGTATTTGCATCATCTTCATTGGATTCCTTGACATAACTCATCATGTTTGTCTTTCCATTTGACATGTCAATAACTTCACCTGGAACAGATAAAAGTTCTCTATCTTGATCAACACATCTGTCCTTATCACATGAGAGGTGAGATTCATCAAAGATCACATGTATACTCTCATCAACGCATTGAGTCCTTTTATTATAACCTTTATAAGCTTTGCTTTGAGATGAGTATCCCAAAAAGATTCCTTTATCGCTTTTGGCATCGAATTTCCAAGAGTTTCCTTTACATTGTTGAGGACAAAACATTTACACTCAAAAGTCCTTAGATGTGTCAGCTTGGGCTTCCTTCCATTCAGCAGTTCATATGGAGTTTTGTTTAGAAGGGACCTGATCATGCACTTGTTCACCAAGTAGCAAATAGTATTGACAGCTTCTGCCCAGAAATTCTTTGCAATCCCACTGTCAATTAACATTGTCCTTGCCATGTCTTCAAGAGTTCTATTATTCCTCTCCACAACACCATTTTGTTGAGGTGTTCTTGGAGCTGAAAAATTCTGAGTGATACCACTTTCAGTATAGAACTCATCAATATGGCATTGTCGAACTCTGTCCCATGATCAGACCTGATGCAAGCTACCTTATTACCCATATTCACTTGGACCTTTTTGACGAAGGCAACAAACACTTCAAAAGTTTCATCCTTGGTTCTGAGAAACAAAGTCCAGGTGAATCTAGAGTAGTCGTCAATTATAACGAAGATGTATTTCTTTCCTCCTCTGTTTGGCACCCTCATAGGTCCACATAGATCCATGTGAAGAAGATCAAGTGGCCTTGAGGTACTGACTTCCTTTTTGGGCTTGAATGAGAATCTAACTTGCTTTCCTTTTACACATGCATCACACACTTTGTGATCCTTGAAGCTTGACTTGGGAAGACCATGAACCAGGTCCTTCATGACCAATTTGTTCAGCAACATGAAGCTTGCATGACCTAGACTTCTATGCCATACTTTAGCATCATCATCAACAACACTTAGACAACTGAGATCACCATTCTGCAGAGACTCAAAATCAACAACATAGATATTTTTGTATCTTTTTGCCACTAGCACCACCTCACCAGTCACGAGGTTTGTGACTGTACATAGTTTTAACAAAAATTCCACCTTGTTTCCCTTGTCACAGATATGGGAAACACTTAGCAAGTTGTACTTCAACCCGTTCATGTAGTACACATTTTCGATTGAGTGAGAGAGAGACTTCCCAATCCTTCCAACTCCCAGAATGTATCATTTCTTACCATTTCCAAAGGAAACACTCCCTCCGTGTAGGGCCTTAAGTGAAAGAAAATCATTTGTACTTCCAGTCATGTGCTTCGAACAGTTGCTATCCATGTACCATTGTTGGCTGCTCCCTTTCACTATTCCTTGCACAAGGAAATCAATGGTTAGATTTAGAAACCCAAACAAGTTTGGGTCCCTTGTAATGAGGAAAGGGGTGAATTAGGGCTCTTTCGGTCCAAACATGCATTATACATTTTTATGTGAAGGACCAGGTTCCCTAGTAGTAGTTACTTTTTAAGCAAAAACTTTATTTTTCTATTGAGATTGGAATCTGGCCTTACAGATTTCCTTAAAGTGCCAGTGTTACCATAGTGAGTGCAAAGACAACTGTCAGGTATAGTAACATACTTGCTATGAGAGTTATAGGGAGTCTTTTCCCTTTGGAACCCAATTCCCTGCCTGTTTCCCCATTGTTAGTGTACATGGTAGTGATAGCATCAGAGGACCAAGTCCACTTCAGTTCAAGATCACTCTTTAATCTTCCTAGTTCTTCCTGAAGTTGTTTGTTTTTCTCAAGCTCAGCACACAGACTAGACTTCACTGATTTTAACTCACTTTCAAGCTTAAGGTGTGTCTCACTTGCAACTTCCTTTCCCTTTTGAGAATTTTCAGGCCTACTCTCCATTTTAAGTTCCTTAATTATTTCCTTCAGGTCCACTACCACCACTAATAGGTCATCTCTCTCATTCTCAATGGTAGCAACTCTCTCAGTTAAGACTTCTTTTCCTTTCTGACACACTCAATGGTCTTTTTTAGATTTACCACAACAACTATTAGATCATCTCTATCATGATCTATATTTGCAATTTTTTTCATTTAAGGCTTCCTTCTCTTTCTTCTGGTTCTCAATTGTTTCCTTTAAATCAACCACAACGACTACTAGGTCATCTCTAGACTGTTTTGCTTCTCCTAACTTCACAGTTAAAGCATCTTTATCATTTATAAGACTGTGATAAGCATTAATTAACATATTTGCCAAAGAACATGAGTTTTTTAGGAGAGCAAGATTTCAGATTTCTCTAAACATCTAGAAAGTTTACCTCATCACCGTCGTCATCTTCATCATCATCGGACTGAGCCATCAAGGCAAAGATTGAGTCATACTCAGTTGCTTCACCTCTATTTCAATCATTGAACTATCACCATGATCATTTTCTTTTTCAGATTCGTTGGAGGAGTCTCCCCATGCAGCAAGAGCTAGTTTCACAACATTATCAACGACATTTTTCCTCTTGAAGTGTTTATCAGGAACCAGCTTCCTCTTGGTTGCTTTGTCAAAGTTGTTTTTGTATTAATCTTGCTTTAGGAGAGGGCAATACTTGATAAAATGTCCTGTCTTACCACACTTATGACATAGGTCATAACCTTTTGGCTTGTTGGAGCTCCCCCTTTTTGGAATGCCTATATTCTTGTGAACCATCTTCTGGAAACATTTTGTCAGGTAAGCTATATCAGCATCCTCGCCACTTGAATCATTGCTGTCAGTCTTGAGGACCAGGTTCTTCTCCCTTTTGGATATTTTCTCTCACTATCCTTCTTCCTCTTCTTCATTTCATAGGTTTTCAGATTACCGACAAGCTCATCAATGGTTAGCTCATGTAAGTCCTTCGCCTCTGTGATAGCATTCACTTTGCTTTCCTAGGAGCTGTGTAGGACACTGAGTATTTTCCTGACAAGTTTGTTTCTTGGAATGATTTTTCCAAGATAGTGAAGCTCATTGATGATAGAGGTGAAACGAGTGTGCATGTCTTGGATGGATTCATCATCTTACATCCTGAAAAGCTCGTATTCAGTTGTAAGCATGTCAATATTTTAGTGCTTGACCTGTGTTGTTCCTTTATGAGCTATCTGAAGAGCTTTCCATATTTCTTTTCCTGATTGGCATGCCAATATCCTTTTATATTCATCAAAACCAATGCCACAAACAAGAATTTTCTTTGCACAAAAATTCTTTTCTATGGCCTTTCGATCAGCGTCATTGAATTCCTTCCTCGTTTTGGGAATGGTTATAGCTGGGTCGCCAACAGTCTTGGTAGAAACAAAGGGTCCATCACAGATGACATCCCAAATCTCGGAGTCTTCTGCCATTATGAAGTCGTGCATCCTAGTCTTCTATCATCCATAATATTGGCCATTGAACCGTGGCTGTCTGTAACTAGACTGGCCTTCTTTGAAGTTTGGCGGAGTAGCCATGAGGATCATTTCTAGGTGTTAGCCTGATAGAAAGAACCAGATCTGATACCAATTGATAGAATTTAATGGTACACCAAACTATTTCCACAAGACACACACACACTTCAATAAGTAAATGAGAGAGAGGAATTTTACGTGAAAAATTCCCAGCTCACGGGATAAAAAATCATGACCTACCTTTGTAGGATTTCAACTTCACTACTGAGAAACTTTAGAATACAACCTGGTGTAACCTAGAAATTAGCCTCTTAATCCCTCACTAACTTGTAACACTCTATTAGAAGCCACTTTGCAATGACTCTATTACAAAGACATTACAACTCGACTAACTCTAGCCAAGACACAAACACAAGGGTTTATGAGTTATAAAGGGTTTCCTACGCTATGCTTCTAACTAAGATAAGTAGGAATTACAAGTAAAGAACTTCAACAAAAGTACAACACAAGTAAGGACATGTAATAACTCAATAAGGGGAACTGGTCTGTTGATATGTTGTTCTTTGTTCTTGATGCCCTAGAGAGTCACTTGCAAGATTGATGATTGACTTGAGAGAATGCTTGATCAATTCTTGAATGTGCAAGTGATTTTATTTTAATTTCCTTGATGTTAATAATTCATTTGTGACATCACTTAGAATGATGTAAGCAAGTTAGGTAAAGGGCATTCTCCATAAAGTTGATTGTTGCACTGTTGCATTGTTTATGTATTGTAGCATGTGCAGACAACAACTTTACAGCTGGTGCAGTTGACTTGTGCAGTTTTCTCGGTAACTGGTAGCTATCTATTCTCTCTGTTGGTCCTATGATTATGAAGAGTTGAACTGTATCCCCAACTAGAGACTTGTTGATCTTTAAGTTCTTGAGTATGTGTATCAGGTTCCTTATCTGATTCTTAAAAGTAAGTTTGTTAGATCATTAAAATGTAATAGGGATACACATATAACCTATCAGTTTAGCTATAGTTGTTCACTATTATCAAGAAGACAATCTTGAACAATTCCTAAGTTATAAATATTAAGATTCTTATGTATAACTAATTATCTAACAAATTAAAATAGTAAATTAACAACTAAAGATGCTAAGGATTGGAGACAAGATTAAGGAGGTCTAGAGTTATGATTTTTCCAATTGTCGGAATCCTTCTCTCTACGTCTCCTATAATTTTGCCTAATCATTCTCTACTGACCGTGAGCACTTCAGGTGTCGTAATTATCTCCCGAGAAACTACAATAATTTACTATATGTATTCTCCCAAACTACGTTAGCTGGCACAATCTTAACGCTCACTATGACTACATCAAAGATTTGTTATTCCTAAACCCACCTTTAAAATGGCCATATTGATTCCTCATATACGTTAGGAGTGACATTGTTTAACAACTACCTAAATATGTACCCTTTCCCAAGCAATACATAATAAATAGGTACAGTCAAGTGATGGTCATTCATTCAACAAAAATAAGCACATAGTTGAACAAGTAAAGATATTCAAAGGCTAAATTATATTACAACTTAATAAGAATTCATACTCCAAAAGGTTCCATCAAAACCCTAAATAATAAATTAGCTACTCATAGTAGTATGTGAAAATATACTAAAATTCATAACCAACAATAGAAAACAGGACGAAGAAAGGAAAAACTCGTGGTTAAATCTTTCTCCTTGCTCTTAGTGTACTCTTGCCTCCAAAGGTGTTGTGTAACCCTAAAGTAGTGTCTCCTCCGCCAAAGTTATGTTTTAGGGTTCATTTATATGACATATTAGGGTAGAGGGCCATCCAAGGCAATCCAAAATTGGATAGGAGAACTGGAGGGTGCGTCTGCCTTCGTGCAGCATGTGACCATAGACGCAGACTTTAGCTTTTGTAGTTTTTTAGTTCGCGAAGCGATCCGTGCCTTCGCTTTGCTTCGCTGTTTTGTGCCTTCATTTTTCTACTTTTTCGCATCCATTTTCGTGCCACGCACGAAATTGGAAGATCTCCCAATTCTTTCCACCTCTTCTTTTTGTATTGAACTATCATCTTTTGATCATTTATCATCCAAACTCGTTCCTACACATAAGAAACACATAATGAGCATATTTCACTTCACAGACAATGTAATCTCCCACGACTCACACAAGAATCAATATGCAAATATACTAAAAATGTGCATTGTTCATTATTTATCACCAACCCACACTTAAACTCTTGCTCGTCCTCGGCCAACTTAAAACTAAGCGCATAGGCAAGAAATACCTTTCAAAGCATTCTCAAGCATCACACTAATGACAATGGTTTATATCAATGCTTAACCCAACATATGCACTCTACATACATTTCCTCAAGTTCTAAACTCATACCAAGATTATTTAAAATATTTGTATGACTCTTCTAACATCTTAGCCTAAAAAATTGACTCCACTACATTCCTCTTTGTGACTCGCTTCTTGTGAAAACTAAAGATACGAGTTCCTTACCAATCCATTGTAAAGCATGTCCCCTCAAATATGACTCTTCTAATATTTGTCCGCACACTCAAATATGAATTCAAGTATAATTTAAGGACTCACAGAATGAAAAGGTAAATGTTTATTTTTTCGACTTCAGCGAAAATGTTCAAAGCACCGCCTTCTTCAATTATCTTAATGTCAAAAGGGAAGAGGACAGGGTCTTACATACGTAAAAGTAAAAAAGAAGAGTTAGGGAAGGCAAAGGAAGAAAGCTGGGCATGTTCTTTAAGAAGGCGCCAATTGACTCCCCATAGGTAGAAGATTCCTATCCAGTTGGGGTCCCTTAGAGCGAGTTCCATTCTTTTGAATTCACTCACTCTCACAAAGAAACTCATGTGCCCCCAAAAGCTCGTACCATAGGCTTGCCCGTAATGTAAGTCTCTACTAATTTAAGCTCGCAAAGTCTAGGATCAATTAGGTCTTCATGGATTGTAATGTAGGCTAAGAGATGGGTAGGATATATATGGATAATAGTGACTAAACCTCATAAGCAATTTTAATACAATACACTTAACTTTTAAGCAAATCCTCTTCATGATCACTCAATATATCGCTACGACACCGTAAATAATGTAGCTCATTGACTTTAGGCACATTTACATAAGTACTAACACATATCAAAGTGAATTGGAGGGATTTTTTTATTTTGTATTTTTTTTTTTTTCAAAATCTTTTGAACACCCTCTATAAATTGGTATTTCCAGCTAGTGGATCTCTCAATACATACATCCACATTTTGGCCTTTCTATGGTTCCACTCAAAAACTACCCAATCTCTTTTCCTTCTCTTCTAGAGACCTAACTGCTTTCGAAGGTAAAGGTTCGAAAAGATTTAATTAATAACAAAAGGGATTCGTCTTGTAATGTGGGTACCAAAGAAAAGGTTTACAAGCTCAAACGGGCTAACAAAGGATAATATTTATCACAAGTAGGCAAATAGACTGAAGGGTCAATCAAAGAAATATCTATATCATTTCCTAAACTCACAAGACTTAATCATTTTGCTTCGAGTCACACACGGGGCAATTTCTAGACTAACAATGGATGACACAGAGTACAACTAAAATCTCATCTCACACAATGTACATGACTGACTCAGGACGGCTCAGGCCCCACTCTCAAGTTAAAGCAACTAGCACAGTCATCATATAATCCAAACACTAGGAAGAAACAACATGAGTCAAAAGATGAGCCCAAGCGTCAAAATAAACACATATACTCTCAAGGCATATAGTCACAAGAATAAAGAACAAAGTACTCAGTGCAAATGCTCCAGCTATAAGCCCTAACATAAAACATGTCAAAAAACATAGATACTCAAGTTCTTCCCATTATATTATCAGTTGAAAAAAAAAAGACAAAATCTTTTTATATTTTTTTTAGACATTAAATCCTCAAGAAAACTGTTTAGGAAGTCCATCGTTGGGAAAAGTCCAAAACTTTTTAAAAATTCTACTTGAAAAAAAAAATTACTGCCCGGTTCAAAGAGTCATCCCTTGAAAAAGAACCGTAGTCATAAGAAAAACCAAGAGGGATTATTTCTACCTAATTTTTTTATTTTTTTATTTTTCCAGCAGCATAAATAATACAACTAAAATAACATAGAAAACCACTCAAACAGTCTCTTCACCCCACACTTAAAATTGTGCATTGTCTCTAATACACACCAACAACTATAAGAGGGTAAAAGAAACTCCCTGGTAGGTCAAAAGCCAAAGCATTAGTAGCTCATGGGATACTCAAACTTCTCCCAGACTTAGTTCTTTTTGCGGGCACCCCACACTTCGTTCTAACCATCTTACTTGCCTTTGCTTTCTTCCAATAGCCTTATTTTCCATGTTTCTAAATAAATCAAAAACAATACTACAATAATAATACAATAATAAAAAATAAAAATAAAAATAAAAATAATAGAAAACAGTAAAGTTGTTGCCTCCCAACAAGCGCTTGATTTAACGTCGCGACACGACGTGAATCACTTTCTGCCTCTATTTCGAACTTATGAATTGGACCCCATATTTAGATTATGCTCTACGATGATGCTCTTGGGGCGATACAAATTATTGCAAGCCAAAAATTAAATGATTATTTATGCACTTTTTGGCTTTTCCGTCGATGAGTGTCACTCTGCCTAGACGGCCTTAAAAATTTCAGAATATAGAGTTCATCTACCTCTTCCTTTGACTCTTGCATTGGCTCATACAGATCAATTTTCATTCCACCATATGAATATAATGTAGAGAAGTATTTGGAATGAGTTCCAACATACTCAAATATATGAACTTCAAGATTTTCAACTTCCTCAACACCAATCACACTTGAGTCAACTAAATTTTTATCTTCAACGTCCCTGCTGACGCTAGTATTACTTCTTCTGCATTGGAATCCTCAAATTCTAGTTGATTA